CCCATTGAATGTCCTTTGTGTTAATTACCATTTCTCTAATCTTCTGCTGCTTCTGCCGATTCTCTTTGCAGAGTGCAGAAAGATCTCCTATTGCGTAGTACTCCATCACCAGGCATACGTACATAGCTGAATCTGTGAGCAAAAGGAGTGAGGGTTTGAGAATATTAGTACTCCCTTGCCTCCTTCGAGGCCTGTCTCAAGGCCTTCCTCTTCAACTGCGCCTTCAGTCACCCTCCTTGCCCTAGCCTCCCTGACCTCCAATCCTCCTGATCCCAAACCTCAGTTCGGGTGCAAATCCTTGACTGTCCAGTGCCTTGGGATGTCCTCTCAATGTGGAAAACGCTGTGTAAATGTAATTTGTTGTTTTTGTGTCTGATGCACACGGAAAACAATCACTGTGATTAGGAAACAAACCAAACTCCTGAGAGTTCCACCTACAGGTAATATTGTCTGAAACATGCCATAGTTGGATTCCAAGAAACTATCCTATGTGAAGGGCATAATAATCCCTCCAAAACCAAAAACAATAATAAATTGCTAATTTTCAATCTACGACTGTTTGTGGGACATTGCTGTGCGCAATTGGCTGCCGCGTTCGCCCACAAATATACAGTCAATTCACTTTACAGTGTGTTCTGTGAAGCGCTTTGGGACGTCCGCCCGACGTGAAAAGTGCTATATCAAATGCAAGGATTATTATTGTTATTAAGGGCGTTATATAAATGCAAGTACCTTCTTGTCCCAGGTCACAAACAGCTCCTTGTACTTGCAGATATTGGGGTGATCCATCTCGGTCATGAACAAGCCCTGTGTGGAGAGAGAGGTTTGGTGGACAGAAGCACAGGTGGTCAGGGGAAGGTGTTGGGGAAGGATCTCTCACCCATCCCCTCGTGCTAGTCACAGTGATCTGCTACACTGTTTGAAATTGGTTATTGCCTACCCTGCCTGCCAGATATTAAGTCGCTTGGAAACAAATTACTGCTGGTGCTCTTTTCAGTATCCACCCCCTCTACCCCACCTCCCCTCCCAGATGCTGTCTCACACTGGGGGACAGTGGCACAGACACACTCCTAACTTCACCCATACTCAGCATTAAACACACTCACCCCTGAATGCTGACTTGCCCATGGCACAGTGACTTTTGTTTTGCTCAGCCGGACACATGTTTAAGAGTATCCAGGCCAGACTGAGAGTTTAATGCATCCCACCTACACATCGAAGTTCTCCATTAAATGGGAATTTCCATGTGTAGGTAGCAATACATTGGAACTCCCAGTTTGGTTTGGATGCTCTTAAGCATGATGATGGGTTTCCACATGTGTCAGATGCCTGGCTGACTAAATCAAAACTCAGCTGACCAATGTCTACGCCACTCTCCGTGTAAACTGACCAGCGAACACTTTGCTGCTTTTGTGTTGTGAGGACCACACAAAGACTTACTTCTCTCACAGCTTGGTTTGCATATCCCTCATCGGGGCATTCAACCTGTGCGAAAGAGTGGGTAAGAAAAAGAACAACAACTTGCATTTACATAGCGCCCTTCACATAGGGTAGCGTCCTGGAGCGCTTGACAGTGGAGGAGTCTGACCCCGAGCCAGGGGGAAGAGGGAGCGGGGAGGTGACCATAAGCACGATCAAAAAGGAAGATCTTTATGTGGGATTTGAAGGTGGGGAGGGATGGGACAAGGCGGAGGGATTGAGGAGAGAAGATCTTATCACATCAAAACATCTAAAAGAGCTTTACTCTAAGTTCTGTAAAGTGTAAGTGACTGTACTTTGTAGGCAAACACAGCAGCCATTTTGCCCTCAATAGTGTCCAGCAAATAGCCATGAGATGAACAGCCAATTTATCTGGTGGGATTGTTGGCCAGGACCTTGGGAAAGAGAAACTCTGCCCTCTTTTCAAATGGCAAACTGGGATTTTTAAAGTCCATCTGAACAGGCAGACGGGTCCTTGGTTTAATGTTTCATGTGTGCGATGGCATCCCTGACCTATGCCAATGCATCCCCTCCTCTCCCCCCTCTCAGTACTCCATTGGAATGTCAGCTGCGACTGTGAGCTCAAAGTTGCCAATGTGGGGCTTCAACCATCTGACATGGAGGCCAGAGCACAGCCAAGTTGCAAGGTGTCAGCCAGAGGGGAGTGGAGGCAGATCAGATCAGTGAGATGCTTCACAGAATGGCCACCAGTCACAAGGTTCAGCTTCCTCACACGTTGAACGAGTGGGTCCAATTATGTGGCCAGCTTGGCTGTGGGCAGCACTCCCATCTCTCGGTGTTAGTCCGCCCTGTGGCTACTTTACACGAAGTGAGTTGGTTTCCAGGTGTGCCCTTCTAGTGTCCGGTTATAACAACAACAACAAATTGCATTTGTATTGCGCCTTTCACGTCGGGAGGACATCCCAAGGCGCTGAAGTTACCATTGAAACGTCCCAAGTTACCATTGAAACCGCACCTACCATCTTCATCGCATACTTGTTTCTTTCGTTCCCTACTCTCGCGATTAGGATGGAGCCATGGACACCGCTGGGGAGAGCTTTCTGAATCTGGAGGCAATGTGGGAAGCAATCATGATATATCAATAATCCATGCATTTGATACAGTGCTTATCACATCATCAAAACATCTCAAAGTGCTTCACAAGAGTTTTCTATGAAGCGTTAGGGTCTGTATTTTACAACGATTCCTGGTATAAAGCATTGGCACTGCCAGAGGCGCTCAAATCACCTCGTACTTCTCCATGTGCTTCAGGGTTTGTTTACTTGTCACCTAGCAACAGTCTGTAGTATCATGAGAGCCCAATTCCAACTCTTGCATAAGGCAAAATACTACAGAGACTGGAAATCTGAACTAGAAACCAAAGTCACTGGGAATACTCAGCGGGTCAGGCGGCATCTATGGAGAGAGAGGAAAGCGACGAAATAACGAAATACAATGACGGGAGGTCATTGTTCCGAAAAGTTAACTCACACCTGGAAACCAACTCGCTTCGTGTAAAGTAGCCACAGGGAGGACCAACACCGAGAGATGGGAGTGCTGCCCACAGCCAAGCTGGCCACATAATTGGACCCGCTCGATCAACGTGTGATGAAGCTGAACCTTGTGACTGGTGGCCATTCTGTGAAGCACCTCACTGATCTGCCTCCGCTCCCCTCTGGCTGACACCTTGCAATCTTGGCTGTGCTCTGGCCTCCATGTCAGAAGGTTGAAGCCCCACATTGGCAACTTTGAGCTCACAGAGAGACCTGGGTTCAATTCCCGTCAGGACAAAACCGTGGGCAAGTTTCCCTTACTCCGCACGCCTGATAATAATCCCTCAAAAAAAATATTGGTCATTTCAATCCACGACTGTTTGTGGGACATTGCTGTGCGCAATTGGCCGCCGCATTTTGCCCACAAATATACAGTCAATTCACTTTACAGTCTATTCTGTGAAGCGCTTTGAGATGTCGAGAAGACGTGAAAAGCGCTATATCAAATGCAAGGATTATTATTATTATTATTATTATTAAATTTGTGACCCTGCGGGGGAGTAAGGACCGACACAAATTCTTCAATCGATTGATATTGATTAATGCTAATCAGTAAAGAAAAGCGAATCAGAGTTATAGTTATAGGTTTCGTCAAATCAAATGAATGCTTTATGGCCGGTCAGTAAAGGTCATTTCATAGGATTTCAAGATCCTCATCCTCACCTACAAGGCCATTCACGGCCTCGCTCCCTCCTACCTCTCCGACCTACTATCCCCCTACCTACCCGCCCGTACCCTCGTTCCTCTGGCTCCGGTCTGCTCCACGTCCCCCGCCCCAACCGCCCTACCATCGGTGGTCGGGCCTTCAGCCTCTCAGCCCCCAGGCTCTGGAACTCTATCCCCCAGTGTCTTCGCCGCTTCCTCCCTCTCCTCCTTCAAGGCCGGTCTCAAAACCTTTCTCTTTGACCGTGCCTTCAGCTCCCCTCTCGACTCTCTACCCCCTCCTCGCTCCCTCCCTTCCCTCCCCTCACCCTGACCATTTCCCCCCTCTCGCTCCCTCCCTCCCCTCACCCTGACCATTTCCCCCCTCCTCGCTCCCTCCCCTCACCCTGACCATTTCCCCCCTGCTCGGGTCATGACCCAACTGTGCAGCGCCTTGGGACGTCCTCCTGACGTGAAAGGCGCTTTATAAATGGAATCTTGTTGTTGTTGTTGTTGTTGGTCAGTCCGCATACAGCCGCTCTGAGGAGGAATTGGTGACTGGCCCCGCCCCTTATCTACAGCCCCACCCCTGGCCCATAGGCCCCACCCCTTATCTACAGCCCCACCCCTGGCCCATAGGCCCCACCCCTTATCTACAGCCCCACCCCTAGCCCATAGGCCCCGCCCCTTATCTACAGCCCCACCCCTGGCCCATAGGCCCCGCCCTTATCGACAGCCCCACCCCTGCCCTTAGGCCCCGCCCCTTAGCTACAGCCCCACCCCTGCCCTATAGGCCCCGCCCCTTATCTACAGCCCACCCCCTGCCCATAGGCCCCACCCCTTATCTACAACCCCACCCCTGGCCCATAGGCCCCGCCCCTTATCTACAGCCCCACCCTGGTCCATAGGCCCCGCCCCTTATCTACAGCCCCACCCCCTGGCCTATAGGTCCCGCCCCTTATCTACAGCCCCACCCTGGCCTGTAGGCCCCGCCCTTTATCTACAGGCACCGCCCCTGGCCTACAGGCCCCGCCCCTTACCAAAAGCCCCTGCCCCCTGGCCTTTAGGCACCGCCTCTTATCTCCAGACCCCGTCCCTTATCTACAGGCCCCGCCCCTTATCTACAGGCCCCGCCCCTTATCTACAGGCCCCGCCCCTGGCCTATAGAACCAACCCCTTGTTCCAAGGGCCCTGTCCCACCCTAATCAATGGACCCCACCCCTGTTACAGGCCCCGCCCCACACAACAGGCCCCACCTCTTGTTTACAGGCCCCGCCCCAATCCATAGGCCCCGCCCCCGGGTTACAGGTCCCGCCCAGGAAGTGCTGTGCGCGGCGCGGTGCAGTGTGGGCGCGGGGCTGAGGCCGGCGCTGGAGGAGCCGCGGAGGATGGGTCGCAGCGACATCATGAGCGCGGCCGAGGACGTGGCCGATCAGGTACCGATCAGGTCTCCCCTCACGTTGGGGGGACCGGGGCTCAGGGCCTGCGGTCAGGGCGGGGCTGGTGACACGGGGGGGGGGAGTTGTGGTCAGGGCGGGGGGGGGGAGTTGTGGCCAGGGCGGGGGGGGGGGAGTTGTGGTCAGGGCGGGGGGGGGGGAGTTGTGGTCAGGGTGGGGGGGGAGTTGTGGCCAGGGCGGGGGGGGGGGGAGTTGTGGCCAGGGCGGGGGGGGGGAGTTGTGGTCAGGGCGGGGGGGGGGGGAGTTGTGGTCAGGGCGGGGGGGGGGGAGTTGTGGTCAGGGCGGGGGGGGGGAGTTGTGGCCAGGGCGGGGGGGGGGGGGGGGGGAGTTGTGGTCAGGGCGGGGGGGGGAGTTGTGGTCAGGGCGGGGGGGGGGAGTTGTGGTCAGGGCGGGGGGGGGGGGGTCGTGGTCGGGGCGGGGGGTCGTGGTCAGGGCGGGGGGGGGGAGTTGTGGCCAGGGCGGGGGGGGGGGGGAGTTGCGGTCAGGGCGGGGGGGGGGGGGAGTTGCGGTCAGGGCGGGGGGCAGCCAGAGCCACAGCCTCCTGTGTGACTCGGGTGAAGTATTCCTCACCAACACCCCCCCTTCCCCCCGACCACAACCCCCAAAGTGGCTGTGCCTGTGGTTGAAGGGGGGGTTGGTTGGGAACCGCCCCCCTATTGATTATTGGAGAAATATTAATTATAGTACAAAACATTAATCATAGTAGAAGTTGGATTTATTCGCTGATATTTATTTTCGCGTCAAACCCTACGCCCACCACAGTGCTCAGCACCTGATGCTGTGCGCCGGCACCTCAACACGTCAACGCCTCAAAGCGCTTCGGGGGATTTACTGTGAAGCACCACAGCTGTGAGGGACTGGGGGTGGTGGGGGTGAAGGAGGGTGGGGGGGAATTGTCGGCCAGGACACCAGGAGAGAGAAGCTCCCTTCTCCTTTCGAATAGCGCCGCGGGATCTTTACGAACATCCACCTAAACAGGCGTTCGGGAACTCGGTTTATCGTCTCATCCAAATATAAACCGGGAGATAGACTCCTTGTTTCTTTGCAATAGTGATAGCGAAGTGGTCCCTTTACGTCCTTCTGAATCTGACACCAACTGTGGGTATTAATTAAAAATTCCCATGTTTACAATCTTTTCTCCCCCCCCCCCCCGGGACATACACAGCATTATTAAGAATAAGTGAAGGGTTCTCGATTGATTTAATACCAGTGCCCAACACTTCACACAGTGGTCAATCTTGTGGGTGTTTGAGTTTATCGCACTGTGAATTGATTCCACAGGCTACTACTGAAATGTAATCTGACAGCTGTTGGTGAGGAGAAGAAAGCGTGTCTTGTGGTTAACAAGCTTGCGGTTTTACTTTTTTTGGTTATCTGCGAGGATCGGATACGGCTTGGGAGTTTTATGTAAAAAAATGAAACCTACACGTTGCGTATTTCGTCATTTCCCGATTCAATATATAATCCCACTTTCCTGGTCTTTCTCCCCCTACCATTTTGTATTATCTCTCTTCAAATGTTTATCTGGTTTCCTCTTAAAAATCTCGACTGTCAATCTGGCAAGCCACTTATGTCGAAGTGTAATCTCTGTGTAGTCTGGAATATCTTTTCCGCTCTACTTTAATGCTTCCAGTGACGATCCTGAGCTGATATACTGACCAGCAGGAATAGCTTTTCACTCTGCTCTCGAAACCTTTCAGCGTCTTGAAGTCCTGGAATAGATTCCCTCCTAAACCTCTCCGCCCCAGTGAAAACAGCTTCTGCCCGCTTGCTGCTCAGCTACTCGACAGCCCCACCGATTGGAAGGAAGTGCCACATGTACAATGCTTCCTCGCTGCTCCCTCCCTGTTGCTGGTATGCAGCCTGCAGCAAGCTTCAAATATAATGTTTGAAACACGGAGTCGAGAGAAACACAGATTGTGCCGCTCAGTCAGCCTGTAACGTGCCTGCGCTTGTGCTGCTGATTCACTTTTATTTTATTTTGTGGTAAAATGGAATCTGCCGGCAAAACTGCCCCTATCACCGAACAGATCAATTTCAAGATCCTCTCACTAGTTTTCAAATCCCTTCATGCCCTGGCACCACTCAACCTCTCCAACCTGCTTACCTCCCAACTCCATTGCCTCCGCTCGAATGGCTCCGGCTTGCGGCATGTCCCTCGTGCCCTCCGTTCCACCATCGGTGGCCGCACTTTCAGCCACTACGCCCCGAAAATCTGGAACACTCTTCCTCTTTCTCTGCGCCTTGTCCGTTCCTTCACCATCTTTCTGATCGCACCTGAAGATCTTACTCTTCGACCATCTCTACGGTTACCTACCTGATCCCCCCCACTGCTTGTCGTCGTGCTCCGCCAATGTCAAGCGCTCAGAGACGCTGTGACTGCAGAAGCAGCTTAGTTAGAAGCAGGCAGTAATTTGCATTTACTTTCTTCCTTAGACTTTTGAGATGTTAAATCCTGATGCCTTTTTTTAGGGGAATTATTTGGAATTGTCAGCTTGGCTCAGTCGGTCACGCTTTCGCCTCTGAGTCAGAAGGTCAAAGCCCCACATTGGGACTCAAGCTTACAGTCCGACTCAGTGAAGTCCTAGTAAGAGTGCCATATTGTCAGAGGCACCGTTCTTTGAATGAGACATTAAACTGATGTCCTGTTTATCTGTCTAGGCTGGTGTTAAATCACCCAACACTAAGGGAAAACAGAAGGATCTTTCTCCCAGTGTCCTGATAATTAATCCACAATCTGAATTAATCATTCACTTAATATGACCGCCTGTGAGGCATTACTGGGCACAAATTGGCTGCCGTGTACACCTAGAAAAAACACTTGACAGCAATACCCTTCGAAGTGCTTTGAGATGTTTTTGCAAACGCATATCAATGCAAATGCACATTTATTCTTTTGAAAATTGAGATTTTATTTTGAAAATAGGGCGATGTCTTGCTTTCTTTTATCTCCGCTCCCGTATCATTCGCGCACTTCCCCCCCCCCCCCCCCGCGCCACAGTAGGTGATCTCTGTACCAGGATCCCTGACTAACCTGTCCGCCTATGTTTTATTCCGTCCCAATAATTCTTCCCCATTCCCAGAGTAAAGCTGCTGTTACCCTGCACTGTGTAGCTGAGAGGGGGAATCTGGCAAGTGGTGTGACAATGAATTTTTTTATCCCTAACATTTCCCTATTGCTCAAAGAGATACAAACAGCATTGAACCCATTACTGACTGAAGCCCCAGGGGACTGGAAGCAGAATCGATTGAGATGTAGAGGAAGAGGAGGCAGAGGAAGTTGATGGATAGAGGAGATTAGAAATGTGGATAAAAAGGAACGGAAATGGGATTAAAAGATCTGCTTTGATCTAATTAAACAGTGGAGCAGGTTTGATAGGCTGAATGGCCTCCTCCTGTCTCAATGTTCCCGTCTTCTGCTGGTGTTTTCTGCTGACTATCACTTGGACAGGTCACAGCACAGAGCTACCACAGTACATACAGTTACACAGAAGTGCGATCATAGAGTTTACAACATGGAGGAGGCCATTCGGCCCATTGCGCTGTGAATCCTATCGCTGTGAATTCTGTGACGTTTTAGCCACTGAGCGCTGCGATCAGGCTGCCTCGAGCTCTCCCCAGTCACCAGATTGAAGTGTGTGCTGTGAGACAGGGCAGTGTATTAGCAAAGAGTTACTAGTCAGTTTGAAGGCAGGAATGTCGCATGTTGTGATCTCCCCCATTATTTCAGGCATATATTAGTAAGGACGGTAGCTGTCTGCCCATCAAAGGCAAGTGGAGTAACTCCAGGACGTGTCCGCATTTCACCCACAAAATACTCCGTCACTACACTTTATAGTATATCTTGTGAAGCGCTTTGAGACATCTGAACGATGTGATAAAGCGCTACATCGACAGGAAGGTTTATTATTATTATTAGTGAGGGGAGGCCTGGCTTGCAGATCTGGGTGTGGTTTCACTGTGAAACGAATGAATGAATATAACTTTGATTCGCATTTTTTTACAAATTTTTCATCCCCTTTTGCTACTTTCCTCCTCTCAATCGAAAGTGTTTGACTATTTTTTCCCTCCTACTCGAGGACGTTTCCACAGGTGCCTCCGCCCAAGTGACTGTTCTTTACGTGAGCCCCGAGGCGGGAAGCAACAGGCCTCAATCCCCCCCCCCCCCCCCCCCCCCTCCGCCAACACACACAATCACCCCTTTCCTCCCTCCCACTAGCCCAGTAACACTGAGATCAGCTGCGTGTGGTTCAGCTACAGATTACACCTGTGGGGCCTCAGTGCTGGTGTTTCACCGCTCATACCGCTCCCGAGAGGCGATGGCTTCAGGTTATCGTTGTCGTATAGATGGGGTTAATGCATGGCCTTCGTCTCCTAAGAATTTGATTTGTTTCTTGTTCTGAATTTGGAATCTCAGTGTGCTGCCTTAGCGGCTCCCCCCCCCGCCCCCCCCACCCCCTCGCCAGCAGGCTCCAAACCCGACCTTCTTAGGTGACTCGAGCTTGTTGTTTCGGGCGAGATAATGAGAGGATGGAAACCTGTGCACTCCCTTCCTCCCCATCACTCCCAAACCTGTCTCTATTCTTCTCCCCCCCCCCCCCCCCTTTCCTCGCTCTCCTTAGGAGCTGGTGGAAGATCCTGGGAGAGAAGGGTGCCTCCCACTTAGGAAGAACATAAGAATTAGGAGCAGGAGTGGGCCATTCGGCCCCTCGAGCCTGTCCCGCCATTCGATAAGATCATGGCTGATCTTCAGACCTAACTCTAATTACCTGCCCTGTCCCCATATCCCTTAATCCCTCTACTTTTAAAAAATCAGTCTCAGCCTTGAAGCCTTGGTTAGGAATGGTGGGGGTGGGGGGGGTGGCCGCGGGGAGATGTGGAAAGCAAAATGATTTTAAATGAACCGTGTGCTGTGTGTGCCTCTAATCTCGAGTCTCTCTTCTCTCCTGTCTGTCCTGTCAGGTTTCCTCTGTTAGTTTGTACTTTGTCTTGAGTGTCGAGTGTGCGCGGTCAGTGCCTGTTCTCGGTGCAAACCGCACGCTTGCCGTGGGAGCACTAATGGAGCTGTTGGCCGTGCTTGGGCTGGGATCAGATCATGGCCTCCAGCAGAGATGCTGCCGGCAAGCATTGTGCAAGTGGGAAAGTGAGACTTGTACCACAGCGATTGGCTGTTAACTCCACGGGGACTTGAGTAAATTGCTCCCGACCACAACTCTGCCAGGGCAGCCAGAGCACAAAAAGGTCTTTCACTTCCCCCACCCCACCATCCTCACTCCCCTCCCCCCACACCCCCTCTCCAGTCCGTCTTGTTCATCCTCATTGCGTCATGAGCTGCCTTTGAAACAACAGCTTCTGAAATCGTAGACTTCTTACAGCACCGGAAGAGGTCGTTTTGCCCACAAAACATACAGTCAATTCACTTTACAGGGTATTCCGTGAAGCGCTTTGAGACGTCTCAAGGACGTGATAGGCTGCTATATCAAATGCAAGGATTATTATTATTTGGCCCATTGTGCCGATGTTGGCTCTCTGTAAGAAGAACTTTAATCTCCCTCGCATTATTTTTTTATTATTACCCAATTTATATTTTTCTTTTCAAGTCTTTGTCTGATTACCTTGTAAAAACAGTGTCTCTGATCAGACATCCCATGTCTTAACGACCCTCCCTCTGTGTAAATACATTCTCCGAACCTCTCGCTGTGTTCTTGGTTATGATCTTAACCCCACTCCCTCTCGTTACTGACTGACCCCACATTGGGAAGTGTTTCTCTCTGTTTATCATGATCAAATTATCAGAATTCTGCACACCTCGACTGGAGCTCCTCTCAGCCTTCTCAGTTCCATTAAAAACAGTTTCATTCTCTCCCGCCTCCAGGAACATAGGAATAAGAGTAGACCATCTAGCCTTTCAAAGCTGTTCCCGCCATTCTATTAGATCATGGCTGAATTGTACGTCAACTCCATTTACCCGCCTTTGATCCATTTCCCTTGATACCCTTACCTAACAAAAATCTCAGTCTTGAAGATTTGAATTGATCCACAGCCTTTTGGGGGAGAGAGTCCCAGATTTATAGGAACCTCGAAAATAATCCCATCCTTGGCATCATCCCGGTGGAATATGCAGTTAAGTATATTATGTATGATATTCTGTGCTCTCTGTGGTTCCTGCAGTCAGTCACATACAGATTCACAGGCCAGAACTTGGTGGAAATTTGTTCTGAAGTATTAAACTTCCGACCTGCAAAATCCATCCATTGCTTCTTAAATCCAGTAACAAGAGCAGCCATAAAAAGACGAGGAATCAAGCAGTTTATCTTTATAAGAGACGGTTATTCAGTGATCTGGTAGCAGAGGTCAGACTGGTATTTTCTGGAACATGGGGGTGAGCGAGACTGACTGAGTAGCTGCGGATCTCACTTTGTTATATGAGGGATTGGGCTCAGGCACTCGTTTACAGACATGGACATAAAGAGCTTTTGTTTTTATAGTGTCCTTTACAGCAAAAGGCCTCAAAGCACGTTACAGTCATTGTAAAGTGTAGAGACTTGTTTTTGTAGGTACACAGAAGCTATTTTACATGCAGCCAGGTTCAGCAATGAGGGACTCCAAAATCTTCAGTGTGCCCAGGATTACGCTTAATCAGCATGACTAACACTGATAGCGGCTGTGTGAGTGAGTGAGGGAGTGTGTTCCTCTAAGAACGTGACACGCACGTTGGGTTTGCACGGGCCACAGAGCTGCCCCGGGTTTGCGTGTTTCTGCTGTGTTCTGAGAAGCAAGTGTGTGTGAAATGGGAGCTCGGAGCAAGCTTTGAATTGGCGTGTGCTGGCTGTGTGTGTGTGTGTGTGTGTGTGTGTGTGCATGCAGTCTGTCTGCCTGCTTTATACACCTCTGTGCAGGTGGATTAGAAGTGTATCCGGAGATATAAAGGAGGTAAGGAATTCCTTTTTCCAATTTTAACCTGGGGTCTCCAGGTTAGTGCTGTGACAAAGTGAGTGTTTGTGTGTGTGTGTGCGTACACGTGTGTGGCACACAACATTCAAGCACGTACTTGGTTAAGGAATATGTTTCCTCAGGTGAAGGAGTGGGCGGGTGGGTGTGTACGCACATGTGCAGAGGTGGGATGGGTAGGTAGATGTGTGCATCCATCTGGTGGACGTGTGCTAACCTCCTCGCCCACACCACACGTCCACTAGCATGTCCCTGGAGAGTGCTCTGAAGCAGGAACCCTGGTTGGTTTCCTTTCCTCCTCAACCAAAGTCCTCGACCAAAGTCAACCAAAGTTTTATCTAAGAAACAATATACTCGCCTTAGAGGGGGTGCAACAACGTAGGCTCACTAGGTTGGTTCCTGGGATGAGGGAGTCGACCTACAAGATGTTGAGTAGACTAGGCCTATATTCTCTAGAATTTAGAAGAATTAAAGATGATCTTATAGAAAACTATGAGATTCTTAAGGGTCTTGACAGGGTGGATAGTGTGAGGCTGTTTCCCCAGTTGGAGAATCTAAAAGTAGGGGTCATAGTCTCAGGATTAAAGATCAGCCCTTTAGAACTGAGTTGATAAAACATTTCTTCACTCGGAAGGTAGTGAATTTATGGAATTTATGGAATTTTCTACCCCAGAAGGGTGTGGATGCTCAGTCATTGAACATATTCAAGGCTGAGATCAATAGATTTTTAAAAACTAAAGGGATTAAGGGATATGGGGATAGGGCGGGTAAATGGAATTAGGTTAGTAGATCAGCCATGATCTTATTAAATGGCGGGGCAGGCTCGAGGGGCCGAATGGCCTATTCCTGCTCCTATTTCCTATATTCTTATGCTCTGTGAAGCCCTCCCTCGCCTGACATCAGTAACTCAGCACAGAGCACCCTGCGATTACCCACTGAGTCACCAGAGGGAGCAGAGTGCAGTTTAAATCCACTCAGCAGGCAACACATTCATGAATGTCAGTCTTATTTTTATTGAACGCTTTCTCGTTTATTACACATCTCAGCTTCGTCCTTTCCAGGCTTATTCTGTGTCCTGCACTGATGCCATAGGCAAAACCCATCAAGCCCACAAAATACCCCCAGACTCTACAAAATAAACGCAGAAGTATATCATCAGTCACACTAGCTCCTTTTCACGTTAATTCCAAATGCTGACCTAATATTATACATTTAAGTGTGTAAATATGGTAAAAGAAGTAAATGCACTAGAAAACATAAAGTTTGCCCGACAAACAGTACTTTTTGTTCACAGTTCAGAAACAATCACACAAAACAATCTCACTGTCTACCTATCTGGTTCTCCCTCTATGTCTCTCTACAGTTAACCCACTGTCTGCCTCTCTCTGACTCTGACTCTCGATCCTGTTCTTCAGACCTGCTGTGCTCTCTCTCTCAAAGGCCTCTTCGGATAAATGGTTTGGGCTGTCTGCACACACCTGGCAAAAAGCCTTTTAAACTTTCACAAACCATTGTTTCAAGTTACAGGGCACTTCAAAGGACTCTTTCAATTTGAGATGTGAATAAATTTAGCTGTTCTGTTTGGGACAAAGACCATAGAATATCTCCAGGCTTTAGCAGATGGACGGGGAATGCGAGAAATGTGGAAAACAATGGTCTCAAGTTCTCCTGGACGTAAAGAGGCCAATTGTTGACTACATGTGACAATATGTTGAACACACAGACACACACATTCTTTCTGATTTTAAACTATTGTTAAGGACTCCCCTTGCTGTACAGTCGCCTCATTGAAGGCATCCCCATCCCTTATCATCGTCCCACCTTCACAGTTCAGCCATGGAAGCTCAGTGTCGTTCGTGTGCAGTCTGTGGTCCCATCATGTCCCTGTGGCCTCGTATGCAGGGCCACCTCTTCTCATAATTCACTCCGATTCGTCTGTTTTCCGAGCCCCATGTAAGGCCAGCCTGTTGCTAACTGAGTGGAGGCCTTCTCTACCCCCTCCTGACCGCTCAGGCAGACAGTAATGGCAGCTCCCTCTCCAAGTGAGCTCCCTGTGCTCCACCATCCCTTTACTCCTCCCCAGACGGTTCCTCTCATTTCACACTGGTGCCTGAGAGCCATTTCTCTTAACTCTTGGAACGTCTCTTTCGGAGTTTTTCCTCAACGCACAGAACTTTATCCGATACGTCACAGAGGGTACGGGGGGAAAAAAGCAGGGAATTGGGAGAGATGGCTTCATTAGAGGAGCAAACACTGAGACAGTGGCTCAAATGCAGGTCCTGCAGTGTGGCAGATACCATGGTCTAATCCTTTCATCATCTATCAATGAAGTGGCACATTTATACACGTGAAATCGCTGACTGCATGTAATTGAGTGAAGCGCACTGTATAGTTTGTCTCTTGAGTTTGGGAGTTGTCGAGAGGAAGGGTTGATGTCTGGCAGCCAGGTTCAAATCTCCTCTGAAGCTCCTCTTGATGTGTTTGCAGTTTCTGCGCATGACAAAGCAGTACCTGCCCCACCTGGCCCGCCTCTGCCTGATCAGCACCTTCCTGGAGGACGCCATCCGTATGTGGTTCCAGTGGCACGAACAGAAGGATTACATTGCGTCTACGTGGAAATGTGGCTATTTCCTGGCCACCATCTTCGTCCTTTTGAACCTGTGCGGACAGTTAGGTGAGTCTTGAGTCTGGGATGCTCTGCAGCCCTTCCATTTGGCTCAGCTCTCACTTCCAGGTCTGAAGGTTGAAGGTCCAAACCTCAAACTTTAGCTCATATCCAGGCCGATGATCTGGGATGCAACCAGGTTCAGTTCTCTGAAGATCCACCAGAAGTATTGACGAAGCAGTACCTGCCCTACCTGGCGGAAGTGACTTCTCTCTCATGAGACATTAAACCGAACTCTCAATTGCCTGATAAGATAACAATAATAATAATCGTGTATTTGATACAGCGCCTGATCACGTCTTCGAGACGTCTCAAAGCTCTTCACAGAATATACTGTAAAGTAAATTGACTGTATATTTTGTGGGCGAAACACGGCAGCCAATTGCGCACAGCAGCGTCCCGCAAACAGTCGTGGATTGAGTGACCAAATTATTAGTAAGATGGGTGTTAGAAACTATTGGAAAAGGGAAGGGAGTTTTTTCAGGTTTTCTGGCCAAAAATCCTCCTGATAGAATTTGTCATTCAACTCATGGCAGCACTCCCCAGCACTGTCAGCCCAGACTGTGAGTGAGCTCAGCGTCACAGGAACCCACAACCTTCTAACCCAGAGGTGAGAGTGCTTCACTCTGACCTGCACAGAATGTTTAATGTGTAACCCCTGGATGTGACATTCCCTCTGTCTTGCTTTACAGGTGGATGTATCCTCATATTAAGCAGAAATTTTGTACAGTATGCCTGCTTTGGACTATTCGGAATTATAGCATTACAGGTAAGTGGTGAAAGGACATCTTGCTTTCTTCCATCAATCTCTCTCTCCCCTCTGTCTGTTTTCTTCTGCTGCCCTCCAGTACCTCTCAAATGTAATTTACAAGATACTGCGTGTTGGGAGGGGAATTGACCTCAGAGGGTGAAAGGGGAGAGATGGGGGGGGGCTGTATCGATGAGCCTGATTCTATGCTTGCCCACCCCCCATGACCAACACACACCTTCCAGTGGTGGAGAAGGGTCTCTGATAGTGATGCGGACCTGGGAACTTTATTTGTAATGCTCTTCCCCCCCCACCACCCTGATCAGCAGCTCAGAACATGCCAGGTGGAGCCTGCGAGTTTGATTGCTCTGAATCAATGATTATTTACATCGAGTTTTCCAACCAAGTCATGGTTTTCACATGAATAAGACATAATCCACTCTGTCCTTCACCCCAAATGTAGACAGCGGAGGTTAGCTGTATGGTGTAAGTATTGGATCTGCGGGGCTGGAGGGGATTGCAGTGGTCAGGTGGGGACAGGAGATTGAAAGTTGAATGAGGATCTTGAAGCATAGAAACAGGAGGAAGCCATTCAGCCCCTCGAGCCTGTTCCACTATTCTATAAGATCATGGCTGATCTGTACCTCAGGTCCAATTACCCGCCCTTTGCCCCATATTCCTTAATACCCTGACCTAACAAATATCTATCAGTCTTGAAACTGTGAATGTGTCCGGCATCCACAGCCTTTTGAAATCACCCTGTGGGGAATAGGAAGCCAGCGGTGCCAGGCAAACGTGAGAATGAGGTCTAGATGAGATGAAGCTTGTGGAGAGTTGAGCTCAGAACATCAATGAAGAGTGAGTAAAAAAGAGAAGTCAGGAAGTGATGAAGGTGTGAATGAAGCCCATACTGCTTTGTGAAACCCTCCTCCTCCAAACAGCACCAAGGGATCTTAACATCCAACAGGAGAGGCAGCGAAGAGAGAGTAGGATAAATGTCTCGTCTGAAGGAACTGGTGCCCAGTTTCTTTCATGTCCAGCAGCTGTTGGGAGGTACCTAACGTCCCTGTCTCTTTGGTTTCAGACTGTAGCATACAGCATTCTCTGGGATCTGAAGTTTCTGTTGAGGTGAGTAGTTTCCTCAGGGCAGTGCAATACAGAATCATAGAAGTAGCCTCATCACGTTTTCGAGACTTTTCAAAACGCTTCACAGAATACACCGTAAAGTGAATTGACTGTATATTTTGTGGGTGAAACGCAGAGAATGAGTCTGTACAGGCCAAACCCGCTATAACAACACAGTGATTTGTGTCCACGTCGTGTGGCGCTATGAAAATGGCTGCCGGTCAGAAAGGTCAGGTCACTGTTTACGTCCGTCCTCCTGCGCTGTGGTGGGGGGTGGGCACAGGAACCCGGGGACACCATGAAATGCCAGGATTCTGCGTTCGCGCTGGAAAATGACAGAGGTTGGGTGGGGGGTGATGGGGGTGGTGGGGGAGGCAGGAGCAAGTTCTCACTAACTCTGGCTGTTTGCCCTCCGCTGTGACAGGAACCTGGCTCTGGGAGGCGGGCTCTTGCTGTTGTTGGCTGAGTCGCGATCGGAGGGGAAGAGCATGTTTGCGGGCGTGCCCACCATCGCCGAGAGCTCCCCCAAACAGTACATGCAGCTGGGGGGCCGCGTGCTGCTCGTCCTCATGTTCATGACACTCCTGCACTTCGACACCAGCCTCTTCTCAGTAAGTGGATGTTGGGGCGGGTGGGGGGGCGTATGTGTGGGGACTAGGGAGGGGGCTGAGGGCTGTGGGACTAGGATTTGGGGGTCCCTTCAGCCTCTCTGCCCCCGACCTTCTGGAACTCCATCCCACATTCCCTCCGCCTCGCTCCCTCCCTCTCGCCTCCTTCAAGTCCCGTCTCAAGACACTCCTCTTCGACCATGCCTTTGGTCACCCTCCTACCGCTACCCTCCGTCCACTCTCCACCTCTCCTGGTTCCAACCACCAGCTTCGGTGCGGTTCCCTGACTGTCCCAACACCTTTTTTTTTCTTACGATGAATTTTTATTTCCTGTTGCAACCGGACTCAAGTGTAACAATGTCCGATACCAGTAACTTCCTCCTCGCTCGCTCCATGCACGTTACCGAAGATGATGTAGCACCGGACATGGCGATGGATCATTATCTGCCATGAAAATGATGGCACTCACACATGTGCACACACACACACG